TCTATCTTCATTAAGGATATTAGCTACTAGTTTTCTTTCTTTTATTTTCTTTTTCTTTCTTTCTTTCTTTCTTTCCTTTTCTTTCTTTCTTTCTGTCTCTGTTTGTCTTTCTTCTCTCCCTTTTTCTTTCCCCTCCTTGCCTCCTTCCTTCCTTCCTTCCCCCCTCCCTTTGTTCCCTCCCTCCCTCCCTCCTTCCTTCCTTCCCTCCTTCCCTCCTTCCCTCCTTCCCTCCTTCCTTCCTTCCTTCCTTCCTTCCTTTCTTCCTTCCTTCCTTTTCTTCCTTCCTTTCTTCCTTCCTTCCTTCCTTCCTTCCTTCTGTCTTTGTGTTGGGTATCAGGGTAATTCTGACCTTATAAAAAGAGTTTGAAATTATTTCTTCATAGATTTTTTTAAGAAGAATTACTATTATATCCTTTCTAAATGTTTGGTAGAATTTAGTCATGATGCCATCAAGTCCTGAGATTTTCTTAGGGGGAGATGTTTTACTATTGATTCAATCTCCGTATTCATTACTGGGTTGTTCAGATTTTCTATTTCTTAATTATGCAGTATTATATATAATCTAGAAATTTATTTGGAGAATGGTATTGGTATGTGTCTTGAAATTTATTCATTTCTTCCAGGTTATCAAATTTGTTGGCATTTTATTTTTCTTAGTAATTTCTTATGTTTTTTTTTTTATTTCTGTGGTATCAATTGTAACGTCTTCTCTTTCATTTCTAATTTTATTTGAGTCTTTTCTCATTTTTTCTTAGTCTAGCTGAAGAATTGTCCATTTTTTCAAAGAATCAACTCTTAGTTGTGTTGATCTTTTGCGTTTTTTTTCTTAGTCTCTATTTTATATATTTCTGCTCTAATCTTTATTTCCTGCTGCTAACTTTGGGCTTAGTTTGTTCTTAATTTTTAGTTATTTGCTATGTAACTTTGGGTCATTTTCTTGAGATGTTTCTGTTTTTTTATATGCTTATTGCTATAAACGTTCCTCTTAGACCTGCCTTTGCTGTATCCTACAAGTTTTGGTATGTTGTGTTTCCATTTTAATATTTCTGAATATATATTTTTTATTTTTTTAACTTCTTCATTAACTCATTAATTGTTCAGAAGCATGTTGTTTAGTTTCTATGTATTTGTGAATTTTCCATAATTCTTCCTGTTATGGATTTCTAGTTCATGTCATATTATTGCATTCAGAAAAGATATTTGATATAATTTCATTCCTCTTAAATTTGTTGATGTGTATTTAGTGCCCTAACATGTGATCTATCCAGAAAGACTGTTTCATGTGCACTTGAAAAGAAAGTGTATTCTATCACTGCTGGATGAAATGCTTTGTGTATGTCTCCTCATTCCATTTGGTCTAATGCGTTGTTCAAGCCTAATGTTTCCTTATCAATCTTCTATCTGAATGATGTGGTCTAGCTACTTTGCTATTTCAAAATGAGCAGAGACCAATGTCTCCCTTTTTGGGTCTGGTCATTGAGATGGACTCTGAGGCTAGATTGGGAAACCACCAGTCTAGAAACTCAAACTAAGTTGTTCTTCCCACCAGAATTCTGAAGGCAATCAGATCATCTTTGCAGGTAGGTAATGACCTCTGTCTCCTTTCTTTGTTTCTATCTGACCCCAGGCCCTTTAGCCATGACATTTTTTCATGTATTCCCCATGGAATGAGACAAGAGTGGGCTTCCTGGGAAGTGTCTTAGAATTCTAGAGAAGTTGGATGACTCCCTTTGATTCTCAGTTCCTTTTTCTCCCTGTAGAAACTGTGGACCCAGGGAAATCTTCATCTGGTACCACAGACTTGGGGTGGGGTGGGAAGGGGTTGACAGAGTGAGACCATTCTTCGTACCCTTCTAATTTATATTTCATTCAGTTCTACAGAACATGCAATATCTCCAGCTTGTTTCCGAGTGTTGAGGTTTTCAAAAAGATGTCCTGTTTTGAAGTTAGTTGCTATTAGGTTGGTGCAAGTTTTGTCATTACTTTCGGTGGCAAAAACTGCAATTGCTTTTGCATCAACCTAATAGTTGAACTTTCTGTAGTTGTGAGTGGAGCCTGAGATTTCCTATTTTGCCTTCTTGCTGAGGTTGCTTCTTGGAAGCTATCCTATCTGCTTTACAGCCTGTTTCTCTTTCCAGGCTAAATCTAAGAGCCAGGGCTCTGGAGCTGGGGATGGAGACAACATGGAGCTTGATATGGTTTGGGTCTGTGTTCCCATCCAAATCTTATGTTCAGTTGTAATCCCCAATGTTGGAGGTGGGGCCTGGTGGGAGACGACTGGATCATGGGAGTGGATCCTCCATGAACAGTATAGCACCATCCTCTTGGTGCTATTCTCATGATAGTGAGTTCTTACAAGACCTGGTTACTTCAAAGTGTGTAGCACATCCCCCCGCTCTTGCTATGCACCTACTGCAGCCATGTACTCCAGTGCAGTACATGCTCGCCTTCACCTTCCACCGTGATTGTAAGTTTTCTGAGGCCTCCCCAGAAGCTGAGGATATGCCAGCACCATGCTTCCTGTACAGCCTGCAGTACTGTGAGCCAATTAAACTTCTTTCCTTTATGAATTACCCAGTCTCAGGTATTTCTTTATAGCACTGCAAGAACAGGCTAATACAAGAGCTAAAAGCCTCATGGAGAAGGTGGCACAAACCTTGTGTTCTCTCAGCTTGCCTCTCCTAGTGTGGAACCATGTCCTCACAAGCTGAGGCAAGAGTCATCAGGGGCTCAGGGTTCTTGGCACACTTGCCCAATGGGGAGCCTTCATTTTACAGGTGAGAGCTTGGTACAAAAAGGGAACTCCTACCACTCAACCAAACTTGCCCAGGACTTAGCCTCAGTAACAGGAAACTTGGGACAGAATGAGAAATACTGATGTTGTATATACTATGACATGGTAGCCCTAATAAGAACAAATCCCTCTATTCGGGTACTGGGGGAGAGTGAGCCCTGTGTTTTTCATGAAAATGATCTGGAGTAAAGTCTCTACCTCACTAAGCTGAGAGTAGGAGAAAGAGGAAGTGGTTTTGGTTAAAATACCACAAATCCTCACTTTTCTTAACAAATTTTTATAAATATTATTGAATAGACATTTCTTCATTTGCTTTTCATCATTGGGACAGTTTCCAGAAGAAAAAAATACACACACACACACACACACACACACACACACTCCAGTTTTGCTGAGGAGTAGACTAGAATAGTTCCTCATGCTGTCATGCTGAAGTTGATTTTTTAACCTATTTTAATTATTTTTAACAGTTTTCCTAGATTTTCCAGTTTGAGTTGCCAAGCATTTAGAGAACAAATAAATATTTAACACTAATGCAAACACATAGCCTGTGGAGTGAATTGATCTGATTGATAGTCAATTAAATCAAACTAGTTTCATTGAATTTACCTCTTTTTAAGAAATTACATTTTCTGACCTAGTCAGTTGTCTTATGACATGTCTCATAGCATATTTCAATAATACCTAATTTACCTACGAACTATTCACCATATAAGTTCTCTTTTAAATGCAGCTGCAAACCAGAAAATAATTAAATTTGTTCTCAGATAGTCAAAAAGGATGCCTTAAAATTGGTGTATTAAATTTTATGTTATTTATTTTCATAGGCAATATGTCAGATGCTCACTGCTATTTTAGAAAATGTTTTTCCAAATGTGGTTTTCCAGTCCAAAGGTGAGAGGCACATTAAAGGGCATAGAGGTACTAGGAAGTCACACTGATGGAAGTAAAGAATGAGAGTGCATGAAAAAATTATAAAGAACAAACACAGAAACCAAAACCAAACACACAGCCATTTACACACTGAAATTTCCTTAGTACATCTCAGAATTGATTAAAACGTGGTGATTGATTGACTTTGTGAGTGATTAAAGAATATTTAGTATACACTAAGGAAATTAGGAAATTTTAGAAATATTTATATTAAATATAGTTGAAATGAGATGTGTTCATGTTGGAGGGGGAGCTTTAGTTGCTGGAAGAGTGGGAAAAGGAGTTCCTTTTTCCATAGTAGCTGTGTAATGCCTACATGTAGTGGCACAACCCATGGTGGGCCTGTTTGGGCACAGACCAGTTGGTCTCTTGGGCAGATGCAAGATGAGTATTTGTGGTATGAATGAAATAAAGATTCAACCAATTAATGGATTTTAGCATCTATTAAGCTATTTACATTTCTAGAGTCTAACAGAATTGACTTTATGGTAGGCCCTGCTATTCATAATAGTTACATTATATGGAGATTGCCTATGCCATGGACCTCAGCATTATCACTATCATCATTCCAAGCTTTAACGACTTCAAAGGTTTTTGGTTATATCTTCTTACATCTTTTTAATTAACATCTTTTGTCAGTGCTAATTCTTGGACTTGTTTTTGAGGACTTCTGTTGTTGTTGTTATATCAAGGAAAGGGCTTATTACACATTGTGACAGAGAATAACTGAGCTATAGAGAAGCTGACTAATCCCAGCCCCTGAATGAACCCCTGAACCACCTCTCATACAAATTTCATTTGACCTTGACTTTGTTGAGTAAGGAGGTAAAGTGAACCTGGGTTCGGACATTAGGGATACAAAAATATAAAGGTAGTAAGAGAGAAGAAAAGAGCAGAGATCAAACCTATGATCCAAAAAACTAGTCTACTCCTTACAAAGTCAGGCAGAGAGGCAGATCTGTAGCTGGAAACGATCCAGGAAATGAGGGAGAGCATGGAGAGGCTTCATGGAAGAAAGAACCTAGAGGAATTTCCTGAAGAAAGGTAGAGCCAAACTCTATTTTGTATTTATATTCTGACATTTATGAGACTAGGGGAAAAATGAATATGGAAAGCCACAGATGATATGTCTAATATTCAATCTAACGAACTGTTGAATAACACACTTTCTATTTCCCTACCTTGAAAAATATACCTTCACAATGATCTAAAAGCCCAGGGCAGAATTTAGAATTCTTAGATTCCTAGGAGTTCCACATGAGGTCATGGTGTACAGGGCCAGCCCACAGCTCATGGTCCTGATTCACCCCTTCTTTTATCTTTCCCCCACTCTATCCTGCACTGTGAGGAGCCCCAGTGTACCCTTGAGGATGTGCCAGTGCACACAGGTAAGCCCCATTCATACTCACACAAACAGCGCCTTCTGGCCATACAACAGTTAGGATGGTTCACTGGAACCATTTTGGGAAAATCAGGATCCTGGTACCTGACATGCCATTTAAAAAGAGAACTTGTTACCATTGCTTCACAAATCTTTCCTCTGAGGGGAACACATGACCTGAGAGAGCTAGACCAAGACCCGCTAAAGTGAAGGGTAAGGCAGGGAGCCTTGTCTCACATATCTTGGGGATGTACTGCTTCTAATTATGAATCCAGGTCATATAAAAGTCCCTAATTCTTCATATTCTTTCAACTGCATTAATGCTGACTTAGGTTTGATGCTTCAACTTTGCCCAAGTCAAAAAAGGAAGCCATATTCAAACAGTTTTAACAAAATGGTAAATATTTCTCTCTTCATTCTTAAAATTTCCTCCTGGGTGAATTATTAAGATTCATAACATGTTTTAATTCTTCTTAATTTTCTATGCATCAGCTTTCCAAACATCTCTTTTTGGATATTTTATTTTATTTTAATGAGCTGCAACAATTACAGAGTGACTTTTAAAAGAAAGCTCCTTGAAGGCAAGAACTGTCTTATTTATCCTCCCCTCTTTTTGTCTCCTCTCATTGCTTAGGGCATTGCACAGTAGATGCTCAGTAGGCATTTGTTGAATATGCAGCAATGATCCAGAGACCAACAGACCATGTGAAACATTTTTTTAAAAGCACAACCAAAAGCGAATAAGGGTGCACTTCTGTATTTCCCTGTTTGTCTTTGTATTTCATTTTCTAGAGGGAAGCATGTGCAGTGCATTAACAGCAGTTTAGAATAGATAGTAGGTGAAGAGGACTGGTCATCACAAAGGTAAAGACCTACACCAAGGGGCCGTTTCAGTCTGAGCATGCTCATCCACAATTATAAAAGAGAGAGAAGCAGGTTGAGTTGTCTGTTAGCCTAGGTCTCTCCTATGTAAAGAAGTGGGAATGAAAGATGTTATTTCTCCCCAGGGCAGTAAGTAGGAATTATATACAGAAGGAAGGGATAGAAATCATATCATAGATGACCTTGAACTCCATGTTCAAATTTAGTATGAAGTGTTATTCTCACATCTTAACATATCTGGGATGCCAATTTTTAGCTAATGATTAAACACTTGCATAGTATTTATGACCTGAACATTTAACAACTACTAAGTCATTTATGCCTATAACAGCTATATAAAAAACTTTCATAATTCTCATTTTAGTAGTTCAGAAACTGTAATACAGAGAAATCAATGAATCAGCCTTATACATCATATGATGCTACCTTGCAAACTAGAAGGTGCACATGGTCTTCAAATTTTCTTTTGTTTGATAAATAGTACATTAAAACCTTCCATTTGTAGCTCAATTTTTTTAGTTTAAAAGTGACTCCTCTTGGGGTTTGCAAATTCCACTAGGTAAGGTAGTGACACTTTGAAGTCTTCATTACTAAAATTGGAGCAGAAGGCAGCATAGAGGTACACTGAAAGGGACAGCTGCTATCAAGAAGAGAGGGTGCAAATGAGCAGGTTGAGATTGGTCCACACTAACTAAACTCACCTCAAATCTGTGCTAAGCACTGACCTGAGTACAAGAAATCAGAAATAATTGTAAGTTTTCAAATACAGGAAAAGTCTGATGAAAGTGATAGTTTAAGAAAAGCAGCCAATCTGTGGATTTCATGAAGAAAAAGAGCTTTCAGAATAGTAGACTTGAATGAGGCAAGACAAAGGAGCATTTTAAGTGAGAATTGGGAAAAGATGACTGAAAACCAGGAGAAGTGATTTGTTACCTAATACAGAGATTGATCTAACTTGAACTGAGTCTACACCAATACAGGATCAATACTGAATCAATAAGTCTTGATTCAGAGTGTAAATTTATTTATGTTGCATAGACTTCCTGTTCTGACTTTACTATCTCCACAACCATGCAAATGGATAGGACTACTCCACAGGACTTATTTTATTCTGAGCTGAAGACTAGGTTTAAGTCACTGTATACAGGTAGTAGTGACTTCAAACTTGTTAAAGAACTTCCTCAACTAGCATAGAGCAGTGCTTGATTTTAATACATTATTAGTAAACATTTATTAAATGTATGGGATAATTTAAAATGTTCCAATTTACTTTGAAAACCTATTTTCAGTTAAATTATTTGCCCTGCTATCCACTAAAATTTTCTTTTGCAGATCTTAAAGAGGGAAAATTCTGCCTGTAGACCTTAGATCCTGTCTTTGTAAACAACCCAACAACCAAAAATAAAGGGGAACAACTATCCTTTATGTTTTCAAAGTAAATTTTTGATCTTAGACAGTGCTTGATATGGTTAGGTTTTATGTCCCCACCCAAATCTCATCTTGAATTGGAAACCCCATAATCCCCACATGTTCAGGGAGAGACCTGGTAGGAGGTGATTGGATCATGGGAGTGGTGTCACTTCTGCTATTCTCACAATAGTAAGTGAGTTCTCACAAGATTTGATAATTTTATAAATGTCTGACAGTTCCTTCTTCACACACTCACTCTCTCTCACCTGCTACCATGTAAGACATGCCTCTTCCCTTTCCACCATGATTGTAAGTTTCCTGAGGCATCCCCAGCCATGCATAATGAGTCAATTAAAATTTTTTTCTTTATAAATTACCCAGTCCTGCACAGTTCTTTATATCAGAGTGAGAATGGATTAATACAATGCTCTTGGCTTTAGTTTATGCATAAGATTTTTTTTTAATTGGATAAATTTGTTTTTCTGTGCAGGTTTCTTGTTTGCTTAGCTGAAAATCTGTTCATTTTGTCTACTTTTTATCACAAGAAACATCAATACTGCAAAAGGGCCATGTTACATGTGTGTAGTGTGATGTGTCTCCTTACATGTATCCCAATGTAACAATCACAGAAAGCTCTGTTTATTGTAAAATTGTGTACTGCTCTTAATCCAGGTAAAGAATCACTTCTACAGGAAAAAGTTTGGGCATCATTTTCTGCCCACACACTCCCCTTAAATGTTCCCTAGTAATGCCACTTTGCAGAGGAATGAAAGTAGAACAACATCATGGAGGCTTCACTTGCTTACAAGCTGCATGCATAAAGTCTGTGGATGGAGTAGCCTGTTATGTTTCTTTATACAGCACTAAGAACTTATTAATGAAAATGGTTAGTTGATCTGGACCATGTTTCCCCAGGAATTCTGCAGAGGGAGACCAAGCTAACAATTACCAGGGGCATCTTCGCCTAGGTAGTTGTATGTACAAACTGTTTTGCTGGAATCCCACTCCTAAATTAGTTGAAAATCAGTTAGCTAATCACTTTGCCAAGACCGTAAATTACCAGAAATCTGGTTGAAAAGAAATGTTCATTTTGACATTGCAAGTGTCCATATTCTAAATAGTTACTTGGCTTAGTTTTTCACATTTGGAATAAATTCAAAACAAGGTTCAGAATTTAGCTTTGACTCCCAGAAGTCATTCAACTGATGGCAAAGCTATCTCCTGAATCAGGGAAGATATCCCATGGTGCTAAAACTATGATAAGAATCAGTTATACTGGATAATGTCAAGAATTTTCTCATACCAGGTACTTTGTCATACAGAATTGTGTCTGCAAATAAATAAGTGCCTTTATAATTTTTTTTTGAAGTTCTCATCTAGATTAACTGCTTTGGAGATGAGGTTTTGAAAGATTCTCATTTAAATATTCAGTTGGTAGCACTTAGATTTGAAGTGCAGCTGACTTTAACATGCTACCCTCAATATTAAACATTATTATTTCCATGATACCTGTAAAATTTGAAACTTAATTCTATAGAAAAATACTAATTCTAAGAGATATTAGAGCTTATGTCACAAAGAGGGGTCCTACATATAGTTCTACAGGCCCTTTTCCTCTGGAGCCACTCAAAATCTCTAGCATGTTAATGTTGCTCTATGACTCTCCAAGAGAGACTTCTCCAAAATCTATTTCACTCCAGAATTTTTTATGGCAAGCTGCTATGGAGAACCACTATCCCATGAAACATATTTTGGCAGATGTTGACTTTCTTTGAATTTTTCTTCTTCACAAGAGGACAAATGAAGTATGAGAATAGGTTCAGAGAAAGACATACAGTTTTCAGGGAAATGCATCAGAAAAGGAGAATGGAGGGCTTGGGCAACTAACTTCACTTGTTTTATATTTTTGCCCCAAATAAGTTCCTCTATTAGGCCCAAAGAGTTATCCACAAAGTCTACTTCTTATCATCAGAGCTCATGCAAACCAGAAACATGGATATTTTGCACAGAGGTTCTTTTCGATTTGTCATAGAGGAAGCAATGGGATGTGGGCCAGATTCGATTTTCTTGCACTCATAAGCTATTCTCCCTAAGGCCTGCAAGAGCAGCAGATGAATAGCTAGGAGCCAAATTTGGCCCATTTAAAATATTATTGCATTGTCCACCATAATGATAGTAATAACCTTGTAATGAGTGTACATAGAGCTGGGTCCTGTACAAACCCAGAAGGAGCCACACTCCTTGCCAGTGCATAGTGAATACCAAAGAGACTTTCCACTCCCCATCCAGGGGAAGTCATTGTTAAAAAAGCAGATGATCACTTTCTTTCTGACATTCTGGCCTCTGGCCATGAATATTGAGAGCCGTTATCCTCTGAGGCTACTTTCTCCAGAAGCCTTTAATGCTTACGGTAAGTATACTACCTTGTAACTCATGCAACCTTAAATAATATTGGCTATCCATTCCATAAACTATTCCTCAAAAAAGGTCAGATTCAATACCTAATATTGATGTAAGAGCTTCACCTAATTCCACTGAATATAGAAATCCATCTACAGATTTCTTTCTTCACATATAGAGAGATTTGCATTGACTCATCTAAACTCTTCTGGCATCTGACAGTCACACCTTCACAGCAATTTTCTTCGCTTTTTAAACCTCTCTCTTTTTTTAAGAATTGGCAAGCAGAAAATTTATTGATCATCCTCATTTTGT